GAAGTATAGTAAAGTAATACCTTTATTTAAATCTGGTAGTACATTGGACCCCGCTAATTATAGACCTATTTCTGTAGTACCAACTATCAGTAAAATTTTTGAAAAAATAGTTTTGGATCAATTGTTAATTTTTTTAATACAAATAAATTACTTCATATAAAGCAATTTGGTTTTACAAGGGGTCGCTCGACGTCTGGCGCCAGTGTTGTGCTTATGAAATATATTTTTAAAGCCTGAGAGAATACACAAGATGGTACAAGGTATTTTTTGTGACCTTTCCAATGCTTTCGATTGTGTTCATCAGGAGACATTAATCAGGAAACTACAACATTACGGTGTAAAAAATTTGGCGCTTAGACTTATTACTTCATATTTAAGTAACAGAACTCAAAAAGTCGTAATCAATGGTAAAGGTTCCTCCGGATCGGTAGTTAACAATGGGCGTTCCTCAGGGCTCGATTCTGGGCCCATTTCTGTTCTTAATCTATATTAATGACTTACCTTATCTTGTAGGGGACAATCACGATATAGTATTATTTGCTGACAATACCTCTTTAATTTTCAAACTGAAACGGCAGTCAATTAATTATGACGATGTAAATAATGCTCTATCGAAATTAGTACATTGGTTTAACACCAACAATTTGCTCTTAAACGGCAATAAGACAAAATGTATTCAATTTACAATACCTAATGTAAAACATTCGAAAACCAATGTGCTCTTAAATGGGGAGGAGTTGAGTCTTGTGGATACCACTGTTTTTCTTGGTATTACTATTGACGCGAAATTTCAATGGGGCCCCCATATATCTAAATTAGCAAGCAGACTTAGTTCTGCAGCATATGCTGTAAGAAAGATTAGAAGTCTCACAGATATCGAGACAGCTAGGTTAGTGTATTTTAGTTACTTTCATAGCGTAATGTCTTATGGAATTTTGCTATGGGGTAATGCGACTGATTTTGAAGCTAATGTTAGCAAATGTTTCCCGCCCTCAGCCATAATTATAACCTTAATTAAACTTCTTATTATTAAACATTGCTTGATTAAATAAATGCATAATTATTTGATTAATATTTAAGTTTGTAATTACATTATTAATAAGATTCCGGATGTAATAAACAATGTAGGTGATTTTAAACTATTTCCGTTTATGAATAATTGTAAGCCGTATAATGCGGGTATAAAAACAAAAGCAGAACTCCGGCTGAGATCATTGTAACTTACGTATTTGCTTTAGCAGAAACTCTGCCAAATAGATATTAGAGAACAACACTATCAAAGTTTTATTTGAAAATCTACAACCACACTGTCACATTTCAGAAGTGGGATATAATTCGTGAAAAACAAAAGTAAAATTGTTCTGGTATATAAGATGTCGGGCCCCTACATACATGGCCTTGGTGAGAATAAACGAAAATATTGCCGAAAACGTTCCCGAAAGAATGAAGAAAACGAAGAAAGTCATTTTTTTTTCTTCAGAAGACCACGCGCCTGCTATGGAAAAAAAATGCCGAGTGAGTCATGTCGACGCTGAAGTCATCCCCAAATTTCGACCTGAAGATAATACCAGTAACGTCAGCAGCTGGTTGCTCAAGATCGATCAGCTTGGTGAAATATATGGATGGGATGTAACCGAGAAACAATTTTTAATGCAACTTCGTCTGCGTGGTTTAGCTCGACGTTGGTATGATGACTTAGATGATTATAACCTCGACTGGGATGTATGGAAACGTGCCCTGGAAATGGCCTTTCCACGGTCCACTGATTTCGTCAGCAGGCTCGAAGAGATGTTGCCAAGAACAAAAAAAGATTCGGAAACCATGACTAATTATTTCCACGACAAATTATCACTTATTAAAAAATGCAATATCGTAGGAAAAAATGCAATCTCTTGTATCATCCGAGGTCTTCCCGTGAAGCTGCAAGCAAACGCGAAAGCGTACAAATGTCGGACGCCACAGTTATTATACTACGGGTATTTATCATCATTTGAAAATTATAAGAGAATAGAAGCTACTACGCCAATGCGGAAGTCATTATGGAAAAGGGGTACAACCGATGGAAGCTCTGCAACTGACCAACAGACTAGGTTGAGACGGTGCTATATCTGCCGGCGGTTAGGACATGTAGCTCAGGACTGCCGTTCAAAACAACGCTGTGAAAACTGTCAACGCAATGGTCACACTTCGGCTACCTGTTGGGCTGTGGCGACTCCTGGTTCAACGCAGCAACGTTCGTCATCCCTGGTGAGTCACATCTTGTTTACCACTACTGATGTGTTATGCAGTGTATATAAGCGTCACGCCTACATCGGCACAGAAAAACTGGTTGTCTACATAGATACGGGTAGTAAATTAAATATTTTAACACAAAATAAAGCGACATTGTTGAAATTACCAATAGCGGCATCGACCACGGTAATGCGAGGATTTGGAGGAACTTGCATACAATCGTTGGGGAGGTCGCAAATAACTGTGCATATAGACAAAATATGTCTTAGTGGGTACGTTGAAATAACTAATTACGAGCTCTCCGATATAGATTTAATTATTGGGCAACCTATGATTAATCAACCGGGGGTAAGTCTGGTAACTACTTCTAGCTCTGCAAAATTTGTAGAAACTTTAGCAGTTGATGATTGCCTAAAGTGCGTTAAATTGGAAAATCTAGACTACAATTGTAAATTCGATGTGTACCTAAAATATGATGTCACTTTACCAGCACAAAGTGTCAGTCTAATTGACGTGACGGTGAATATTGAACCCAACGACAATTTGTACTTCCTGACGAATTCTGTCTATATGCAAATAGGAAAATTATGTTATGCAATACCTGGAGGAATTATCTGCATCGAAGGGTGTTTAAAATTTATAAATATGAGTAATATACCAGTTTCCTTCCCTGCTCGTAAATTAATAGCGCGGGCTGAACTAGTGACCCTACCCCCCACTAATGTGCAGGACGTACTCAATACTGATTTTTCTAGTCTTCCTGATGGTTACAGTAACCTTCCAAATAAGTGTGACATTGACGTAGGAGATCTAGAAAAGAGGGACCAGGATGAGCTCCTAAAACTATTAAATAAATACCGTTATATCTTTGCTAGGGATACTAGAGATTTGGGGTGCACAGATCTCATGGAAATGCATATACGGACAACTACTGAAAAACCAGTTTACTTTAAGCCATATAGACTATCACAAAAAGAAAACTAAATCGTTAATAGTAAAGTGCAAGACTTGATTGAAGCCGGCATAATACGCGAATCAACATCCGAATATGTAAGTCCAGTTATATTGGTGAAATAGAAAGGCGGTGACTATAGGCTTTGCGTCGATTATAGGGCTTTAAACTCTCACACTATAAAAGATCGGTTTCCCTTACCACATATTGACGATCAAATCTCAAAATTGGCGGGTAAATTTTACTTCACAACGCTTGACTTGACTCAAGGATATTATCAAGTGAGGCTTGCCGATGATTCGACACATAAAACTGCCTTTGTAACGCCCTCCGGACATTACGAATTCCTAAAGGTACCTTTCGGTTTGGCCAATGCTCCTGCTGTGTTTTCTCGACTAATAAGCCTTGCCTTAAAAGACGTTAGAAACGAGGTTGCTATATATCTTGACGACATAATGCTACCTACTGTAACTGTAGAAGCCGGTATACAATTATTGGATGGTGTTCTAGGCCTTTTGCAAAAAGCTGGTCTAAAATTAAATCTAAAAAAATGTTCTTTCCTGAAAGCAAGTGTCAATTACTTGGGTCATGAGATATCTGCAGTAACAATCCGACCTGGTCAAGCCAAAATCAAATGTGTCTCTGAATATCGACGACCCAAAAACGTTCATGAGATCAGACAGTTTATTGGACTTACCTCCTACTTTAGAAAATTCATTCGTGCATTTGCTGAGATTGCCCTTCCCTTAACAAAACTGACGAAGAAGAACATGGATTGGCATTGGGGTCCAGAACAGGAAAATGCGTTTCAGTGTCTGAAACTTCGATTAATTGAGAGGCCAGTTCTTGGCATTTATGACAGCAAAGCAGTTACCGAACTACACACTGACGCGAGCAAGTTAGGATTAGGTGGCATACTCATGCAGCAGCAGCCCGATGGCTCAATAAAACCAATAGCATATTTAAGTAGAGTAACATCTAAAGAAGAACAATTCTATCACAGTTATGAACTTGAGACCCTCGCAGTAGTAGAGTCGCTGAAACGGTTTCGCATCTATTTAGTAGGGATACCTGTGAAAGTAATTACAGATTGTGCCGCTTTACGCACTACATTGGTTAAAAAGGATCTAACTCCTCGAATAGCTCGCTGGTAGCTCACCATCCAGGATTATGACTTGGAAATAGTATACAGACCGGGAGAACGAATGAAGCACGTGGATGCCTTGAGTAGGAACCCTCTGACGGAACATATTTTCCAAATTGACGAGTCAGATTGGTTAGTAACGCTACAATTGCAGGACGACAATATTCAGCATATAATTACTCAGTTACGGGAACAGACCACTAACCCGGACGTAAAAAATAATTATGTTATTAAAGATAATGCCCTGTTCAGAAAAACGTTACATGGAGAACGTTTTGTTATACCAAAACTGGCAAAATATGGCCTACTGCAGAAATATCATGACCAAATAGGGCACACTGGCTTTGAGAGATGCGAAAAAACCATAAAAGCTCAGTTTTGGTTCATCGGGATGACTCGATTTATAAGAAAATACATTAAGTCGTGCCTACAGTGTGCGCATATGGCAAGTCCGAATATGGTAAGAAACAAGGGGAACTATATCCTATCGAGAAAGTTCCAGTGCCTATGCATACTCTACACGCCGACCACTTAGGACCCTTCGTGAAAACTCGAAATGGTAATACGTATGTACTAGTCGTAATAGACTCTTTTACGAAATTCGTATTCGCAAAAGCTCTCCGAAACTGTAGTTCGGTAGAGACGATTAAACACTTAAAGGAGATAATTACAATGTTCGGGTATCCCAATAGAATCATTACAGATAGAGGAAAGGCTTTCACCAGTCGTTATTTTAAAAAATTTGCAGAGGAAACACAATTTAAACACGTGTTAAACGCCATAGCGAGCCCGAGGTCAAACGGACAAGTGGAACGAGTGAATCGCACAATCATAGATGGCCTAAACACTATGTCGGAGAGCGAAAATACATGGGATGAAAATCTATCGGATGTTCTATGGGGCATAAATAATACACCCAATTCTACCACTTCTTTCCCTCCATTCAAACTCTTATTCGGGCACGAAAATTCCCGTTTACCAGCTTACCCTAAGGGAGATTCAAAAGATTTCGCTATACAACAGCAAGCACTACAGGACAGGAGGAAAAGTGCAAAACTAAATATAGATAAAAATATGACCCTCATGAAAAAGCGATTTGACATATCCCGTTAGACATGTAATAAATATTCAGTAGGACAATTCGTTTTGTGGAAAGTGGGCACTAGTATCGACACATCTGCGAAAGTTTGCCAAAAGTTAAAAAGCCTTTATACAGGACCTTACAGAGTATGTAAGGCAGAGCAGACAATAGATCGTTATACAATATGTAGTGTAAAGGGAATGAAAGGTTATAGAAAATTTAGTGCGGTTGTGGAAGGAGAAGTATTGAGACCATATAAGTCTATTATATCTGATGCAGATAGTTCATCTACTGATGGGGAAGTGGATAGGGATGATCTTATCGATCTGCTAGAGGGTTGACTAAAACAAAAATGTTTATACTTATAGTTACAAATGTATCTTACAAGTTGTATAATTATAACTCCTTATTTTCGTTATGTATTTAATTAAATATTCAGAAGTTTTGCTCGTCTCTATTTCGTAGAAATCAATAAATTAAGCTCGAGAGTATTGTATTTAACTTCCTAGAATTAAATTGTTACTAATCTTATTGCTTGTAAATAAAAATCAAATATATTATGATAGAAATATAAATTAGTAATTTATTAAACGAATCCTGTAGTAATAAGGAGTTCCCTATTAATAAGGAGTTTAGAACATTTAAATAACAGGTAATTGAATAATTACCAACTCAAATTTATTGTATAAATATTTATTTATTTTTATATTATTACAAACTCGTAAATTAGTAAATTATTACAATGAATCCTTAGGATTACTAAGAAGGTTGAAACATTTGAAATATATCTTGTAATATCATTATACATTAACTTCAACATCGCTGTGTAGAAATATCCATTTTGAAATAGCCACATCCATCTGAAACATAAACAATGGGATTATTAACCATGTGAAGATAGATTGCTCTATCCATAATAGCATATCGTTTATTACAATACCAATCGCAAGTAGGAGAAATTATATTAAGTAAGAATGTAGGTGACAAAAACATCGCAAAGTTCTGTGTGACAATACCTTGGCAAGCATTCATTGATCACACAAGGAATAATTGTAATTAATTAATTAATATCCTTTATGTAACTAGATAACATCAAAAAATATTATTAATACTCAATTACCTAAGAGGTCAACCAGGTCTACTCAAAATTTTCTGTGTGACCGATCCGTCTGTGTGACCGATCCTTCTGTGTGACCGATCCGTCTGTGTGACCGATCCATCTGTGTGACCGATCCGTCTGTATGACCGATCCGTCTGTGTGACCGATCCGTCTGTGTGACCGATCCGTCTGTGTGACCGATCCGTCTGTGTGACCGATCCGTCTGTGTGATCGATCCGTCTGTGTGACTGATCCGTCTGTGTGACCGATCCGTCTGTGTGACCAATCCGTATGTGTGACCGATCCGTCTGTGTGACCGATCCGTCTATGTGACCGATCCGTCGGTGTGACCGATCCGTCTGTGACCGATCCGTCTGTGTGACCGAAACGTCTGTATGACCGATCCGTCTGTGTGACCGATTCTTCAGTGTGACCGATCCGTCTGTGTGACCGATCCGTCTGTGTGACCGATCCGTCTGTGTGACCGATCCGTCTGTGTGACCGATCCGTCTGTGTGACCGATCCGTCTGTGTGACCGATCCGTCTGTGTGACCGATTCTTCTGTATGACCGACACCTGTCTCTGTGACCAGTCTGTGTGACCGATTCTTCTGTATGACCGACACCAGTCTGTGTGACCAGTCTTTGTGACCAGTCTTTGTGACCACGTACTAAAGTTCCTTTCGTAACACACTCCAGTTACGTGAACAAAGCAAAAAAAATATTTTATAGAACATACCTTCAGAATTTATGAGACAACTGCTTAACTTCTCATATTTTAACTTTTATTGTTCATTTTCTTTTGAATTTTCCAGGCATTTCATGAAACCGAAACCAAGATGCTGTCTGATCGCCGTGGGACACGGCCGTCGCAGGATGGCCGAATGTTAGCAAATGTTTCCCGCCCTCAGCCATAATTATAACCTTAATTAAACTTCTTATTATTAAACATTACTTGATTAAATAAATGCATAATTATTTGATTAATATTTAAGTTTGTAATTACATTATTAATAAGATTCCGGATGTAATAAACAATGTAGGTGATTTTAAACTATTTCCGTTTATGAATAATTCTAAGCCGCATAATGCGGGTATAAAAACAAAAGCAGAACTCCGGCTGAGATCATTGTAACTTACGTATTTGCTTTAGCAGAAACTCTGCCAAATAGATATTAGAGAAAAACACTATCAAAGTTTTATTTGAAAATCTACAACCACACTGTCACACTATATTTGTTTTACATAAGAGAGCCGTACGGACGATTTATAATCTAAATTGTAAAGAGTCCCTCAGAAAAAAATTTAAAGAAATAAACATATTAACTTTGGCATCGCAATATATTTATGAAACTGTAATGTATGTACATAAAAAGATAATTAGCTTTAATAACAATAAGGATGTTCATACCTTAAACACTAGGAAAAAACATAAGCTTGTAATGCCAGTTACTAGACTCCACAGAATTAGTAATTCATTTATGGGGTAATGTATACGCTTTTACAACAAAATCCCAGAACATGTTCAAAGTTTGTCAATAAATAAGTTTAAAAGTTTTATTAAAGAAAAACTGTACAAAAAGGGTTATTCTAATATCAAGGAATACATGAATGAAAATAATCCCTGGGAATAAGGTGATCGCCACCATGCTGGTTCTATGAAAATTCATTTAAAATTGTATAAACAATATTATTGTTAAGTGAAATTATGTTTAAAAAAAGTCCCGCTGGGTTTCTTGCTGGTTCTTCCCAGGACAGAGGTATTTTCCGAATCAGTAGTAAATAAAAAAATGACTTTCAATAAGTATTACGTAATAATCAATATTGAATAAAAATCATTCAATTCTATTCTGTCCGAAGAAAAGCACACTTGCCGTCACTGGTAAGATGCAAAAAAATGCCGCATCTCATCCCAGTTGCTGACTTGTATTGCCATACACTCATGGCCGTGAAAAGAAAAGGGGAGATCTCACGCCCGGCGTGAGATCTCCCCTTTTCTTTTGAACTCCAAATCAGTGTTGACTTTAAAGTGATTGGAGAATGTCCGTTCATTGTCCAGTAAATTAATTCGCTGTGGTAGGGAGTAAAATGGAATGACTGGGCGTTCTGGCTGACTTTTATACCCACACCAGAGACTAGTGTTGCACAGTTACCAATTGCATCAGGTTACACAGACTAACGACTTAGGATCGCACTACGCAAGAGATGAGTCACAAGTATTTAATAGACTTATCATTATGATATAAATATCTAATATAGTCATCGATCACTAATAAAAAACTAGATGCACAATCCCATACAAAAGTTCTCTAAAAACTGTCGCCAAATGTTTTGACGTAATTCTAGTTGATATAAATATACATTAATGTAAATTCAATCTTAAGTGAAACGCCTAAAGTTGTATTGACAAAGCAACATACAAAAAGCAATAAAATTTTACGACCGAGGCTCGTCGCTTGGACAAGGAGAGTGAAGTGCACAATATTATTGTTACTGTAATTTTAATTTTACAATTTTTTTAAACTTGTTTTAAATAATTGGTCTACTTAATAAAGTATATTCTATACTATTCTATGGTGTATATGTGTAATGGTTATGTTATAACCTGAATGTAAATATGCTTTTGGATAGGGCACCACATTCATTTAGTAATGAAAGTAATAATTGAAACAGTCATAATTATTTATATATTCTTTATCTTGTGTGAAAAATTTAAAGGTATTGCTTGACAAACAAGTTATATCTAAATATAATAGTTACTAAATATAAAAAATAAGTACAGAAAGTTCTTGCAAAATCTAATAATATTATTGTCCAAATTTTGACGTAATGTTCATATTTACAGATGTTTAAATAAAACGGATAAGACTGAATAATAATAATGATTTATTATATTTACGCGTTCACTACACATTTAAATGAAACAAGTTTTACGGATTTTATCGCGTATATTAACTTATTTTATATTCCTGACGTTTCGAGTACTATAATATTTAGAGAAACAGTAAAGAACTCTCATTAAACAAAAAAAAAAAAAACAATCATACTTTAATAATAAAAGAATAAAAAAACAATAGCTTTTCCACAAATGCAACAGAATCAACGTATATACCTCAAACAATGACGACTTATTTTACTAAGACTTAATTTAAAAATACTTTTACGATGATTTCTTGACAAAATATCAGTATTTACAATACATTTATAACAATTAAATAATGTTAATATTAATACTTACCGTAAATATGGAATTCCATCCTTTTTTAGCGTACTGGATGTGTGATTATTACACTTTTTGAACGAGCACTAAGGCATGTTTATCGTCGGAGCATTCGAATGCTACTAGATTAAAAGTGCACCCATATGTTCGAATGGGTGCACATACGGTTATGCCATTTTTTGTCACTGATTGTGTATCTAGTTTTTTATTAGTGATCGATGAATATAGTTGAATAAATTATTTTCAACTATATTAGAAATTTATATTATATTAGAATAACGTACCTTATATCATTAAAAACATATTCTTGCTATAGGTTATATGGATAGCCCACTTTGCCTGCATGGAGTGTTAAGAGATAGCGACTCATGTCCTGCTTGGGTACACTGCGGTCGGCAGCTACAGTGCCAAGTACCTTCGCGTTCCGGGATTGCTACCCGAGATCTTTAGCGACATTAAGATGTTATTGGGATTCCTTGAGAAGCCAGAATATCTCGAATATCATTATATCCTGCCAGTAGGCAAAATACGCGCTCAGTCGTGGAGTTGGGAAAACGAGGCGATGTAACATTATCACTTACACAGACATAAATTACTTTTCTTTGGATTTATCACTTTATTTTCACTTTGAACTTTGGATTTTGCACTTACTTTAAATTTCTTTTCTTAATATTTTTTTATAGGATAGGGCGACAAACGAGCACACAGTCCACC